TCAGACGTGTGCTCTTCCGATCTCCCCAAAACCCCAAAACCCCATAAATCGAATTTGAGATTAATATCAATAGTTAATAAATAAACATTGATTATAAATTGAACTGCAAAAAGTTGATTTCTTCATTCTGATTTCTTTTGCTCTTCAGCAGCTGCTAGTTCTTGCTCTTTAGCTAATCTCTCAGCATCTTCTTTAGCTTTTCTGGCTTCTTCAAATTTTTTCGGCACTGGGTTAATCTTTCTGATCTCCATAAACTTCTTCACATCTTCATCTGTAACTTTCTTTCTTCTCTCTTAGAACTCTTTCAGGAAAGCGTTAATAGTATCAATTAGAATAGCCTTTACTTCGCCTGTCAGCATCTCACCTTTTCCGTACTTCTCTTTAATTTCAGCGAGTTTATCGTCATCTTCTAAGAAGAACTTCAACCATTGATAAGGCACATCGATATCTAAATTAGCTCCATTAGCTCTGTGTTCCTCAACAGTTATACCACCTCCTGAGAAGGCATACTTGTTAATCTTTCTTTTTACTTCAGCTGGTGTATCTGAAAGCAATATAGAACTATTAGAATCACTTGATGCCATCTTGGTCTTAAGTCCTTGAAGAGCTGGGAAGAAAATAGAGTAAAAGGTTGAAGTCTTTTCATACTTTAGCTTGGCAGCAACATCTCTGGTCATTCTGAAGTATGGATCCTAGTCAATAGCACATGGGATTAGAGATGGAATATCTTTTCTCTTTCCAAATATATGTGGGAAAGTATTAGAGAATGATGGGACAGCTTGAACTGGTGGATAAGCGTACTTACCAACATTATCAGACTCACTAAAACCAAAGAGTCCTTTAATTTGATTAAGAGTAGTTGCCTTTTATACTCTCAACACGTTAGGGTAGAGATGTTGGATGTAATCGATATCTGAAAATATGAAAGTCTTTTCGAGATTAAAACCAAATGCAATAATATCCTTGATGTTGCTGATTGCCATCTTTTGAACTTTCTCAAGTTCATATTCTGGTCTATACAAATATTTTTCATCATCTGTAACTTAGATCACTAGGGGAACATCAAATGCATCTTAAAGATATTTGTTCATAATAAATGGAATAGCATGACCCATGTGAAGTGCCTCAGCTGAAGGTCCTCTGCCTGTATAAAGATAAAATAATTTGCCTTGCTCGTATCTATTCAGAATAACATCAAGATCTCTATGGCAGAAGAAAATATCTCTTCTGATAAATCTATGTGGTATTGCTCCTGTCAGAGAATGAATTTTAGCTTTGTTATCATCAATAAGTGGAGAGCACCCAAATTTAACTAATAGTTTCTCATAGTCAATACCCTTGTCTGATGCTGCTAGAATGCAAAAAGCTGATACTAGATCCTCTTTCTCAGTTTAACTTTAAGTTTAGTCTTGTGATTGAACAATTTCTTTTTGTTCTTCATCGACTGGTTACCTTTCCTAAGTCGTAGTGTTTTCCATTTTACTAATTAATATATTAGATGAGCAAAACATTTGCTAATTAAATAGTTTAAACCAATTAAATTATGCATAAGATTTAAATCTAATTAAATCAGAATCTATCAATTGATTCTGATCATGCCTTGAATGCCTACTTCATTGATATCCTAGTACTCCCTCAATTTACTGTAGTAAAATTTCTCTAACTTGATGGAGGCCTTGTATATTTCACTCGATTCATGATTGAATTTCTAGCAGTTTTTAAATACTGTGAGTACATCTGTTTTGAATTCAGTTGGATTTTTGTATAGCCTCTCAATCATTTTAAGTTTCATCGTGCCAAAATCCATAGCATAATCAATAGTGCGGAGGTAGTCTTCAAAATAGATTCCAAGATCATCTTCTGAGACTGGCTTTAGGAAAGCTCCAGCTTCTTCGTGATACCAAAGAGTGCCAAGTATCTCCCAGCAAGATTGCATCCAAGGGGTATCAAGGAATTTAATCTCGGCAAACTCGTCGTAAATTGACTCATCGTCATCATATTGTGCTTGATCATAGAACTGATTGTCATTTTAGTTATTACTGACGATGTTGCTTGAGAAATCTGGTTGAATCAAAGATGGGTTAATTTTAGGTTGATCTAGAGTTAACCCTCCCATTATAATCTTGATGCTCTTTTCTTGCTGAGCATTCTAATTCCATTGCTAGACTTGATAATCATTCTTGATTCCACCAAGCACAATCTTTAGTTTATTATCTAATTAATCAGCTCTTTAGCCGAAATCATGGAGTTAAATCTTATCATTTTTTGGAGTTCTTATTATTACTTGTTAGTTGCCTTGACCTAGAATCTATTTTAGATGTCTATCTTTATCATTATTCTATTGCTGCATCAGCATATTTTATTCTTATAGCTGATCTTCTATTCTACTCCAATACTCATCAAATTACATTTCTTCCATATTTATTCCCTTTTAATACTGATCATCCTTAAAGAAGGGAGGTACATCATTTGCAAATAAGAAATAAATGATCCTTTTCACTTAATAATTAAATTCTGGACTTAAGAAATTAAAAGGTAACATTAAGTAACTCCATAATAAATTTCCAATAGCCTTTGTTTTATCATTTGCTAAATAAATTTCTCTAATATCTAAGTTTTCTATATTATTCTCAAGGAAGTCAGAGAGAAGTTTTAAATGATTTATTGCCATTTTAAATTGATTTGTAACAGACAACTAATCTACCCTTTTTAGTTAAGTATAGAGTGCTTTCTATGAATGAATTGAATTAGAAATAATTGAATCTTACCAAGAAACTGAGATTCTGATACAAGAAGCAATGCTTTATTATGTACCTAGAGACAAATGATCTCACTTCAAATGGCCATTTATCGTCATTAATAACAGACTCCAAATCTTTTTCCATCTTATTGATAGCTTGATTCTCCGCAGCCTAAATCTGCTAGTAAAACCAATTCACATCTTCTATTCTATCATCAATGTTTTAAACCTTATTCTTGCTAAATTTATAGATTTACTTCTTTAGTTTGAAGAAACCAGAAATTGATCCTTTAGTTACTGAATACTATGGTGAGAATTTTCCTATAAAGTCAAGTCTAAATTATCTATATATCTCAGCTGCTATTTCTGGTAGTAATTTAAAGCAATCTAAATTCCCAAGAGCTTTAAGTATCTACTTAATAAAGAAGCTATCATCAAAGGGATTTTCTGAATTATCATTTTCTTGCAGAATTTTCATTAATAAATGGCCTATCTGCTCTGAAGAAGTGTGGATATTATTTTCATCAAACTGTTTACTTTATGCTATGATCTAAGGCTTTTTAGTAGTAGTGTTAATTACTTCATTGTTTGCTAGATTCAAAGATATACTGCCTATTGGATTTGCTCCTTCTTAGCCTGAGCCAGCTGCTTAGGTAATAGATTTCTGATAGTTCAGATATTATTCTTTTACATCATCTTTTATTTCAAGTGGCAATTCTTTGCATTTGGAAATAACTTTAAGAATAGACTTGTCTATGTAATATTCTAGGACCTTAGTAAAATCATTAGATTTGTAAAAACCAATCTTTTTGTCAAAATTTCTTTGATTGTAAATCTTAATTAAGAACTTTTCATGAGAGAGATACTTGTTAAAGAGGGTAGTTTGCATTCTTTGCAAATATGTGATGGCTACTTTTCTCACCTTGAAAAAATAGTTTTCATTTGTCCCAACAGATTTGAGGATTTCATATACTAGCTCTGAATTAAATTTGTAAAGTTATTTGAGAGCCTCGATCTACCCAATTATATCTTTTTCTTGAAGTAGTTAAAATAGCCAGTTATTTTGCTCCTAAACGACTTTTACCTTTCTGATATATTCCATATCTGGGTCTACTCTAATCCAGAGCACTGGGGATTCAAGATTTTTCACATCGAATAAGTTCTTAGTGCCATAAGGGTAATCTTCTAGCTCAAAGTCATTTAATCCAAACTTCCATTAATTGTTGTCGATTAGGTGGTGATCATTTTATCCATTATTCATCATACCATCATCATGTCTGCTTTCATCATCTTGCTACATTTCTTAATCATACATCAGCATCGTTTCATATTCTTTCTTCTTATTTTGAATAGTTTTCTTTACCTTATATTGGAGTGGTATGTTTACAGATACTACACTTTTTCCATATTTTAAACTCATTTTCTATTATTGAGTTTGAATTTCAGCTCCATCAGTGAGATATATCATGACATTCACTTCTCCTGTGAAATATCTCATGCATCCTCTTTTGAGCTCTACAAAAAAGGAATCAACATTTTGATTCGCTGTTGCTAGTTAAGATTTTACTCCATTATAAGTGAATGGAGTTTAAAAGACTTATCCCATTTCTATAAGATTCTTAGTAAACCTTTTATAACTAAAGTAACTTTTCATTGCTGATTTTTACTAAATGGTCAAGTCCAATGAGTTATTCTTCTTGTTATAATTGAAAGATGCTGTAAGCTTAGGGCAGGATGTGGAAATAATCCAATTTGAGAAAAATTACTTTAGCTTAAATCCACAAACCTACTTGAATATACTATGAAATTAACCCTGAGATATAGTTGGTTAAGCTGAATTATAGAGCTACCTAATAATTTTTTCATAATAGCTTTTATCAATCATAGATTCTATCATATGCATAATAAGCTCACATTTTTGGTAAACTAAATCATTGAAACTCTATTCTGAAGGATGAGGATAGTATTAGCTTGAAAGTGGATACCTTTCATATCCTAGTTTCATCTTTTTATACATATCTTCAATAGTTTTCATTATATGATATCTATAGAGAAGAATTCCGCATTTTGAGATTTTGAAGTGATTACCAAGACTTTCTCTTAAACCTTATAGTAGCCACCAATCTTCCGGAGTATTTTCATAAACTTTACCCCCAAAGAAATCGAAAGCAATTGTTGATGCAAGATACTTGAAAGTTTTATACCTATTTTCAAGTTGATTTCTATTGAAAATAAGTTCCTCATCCAATATATGCAAACCCCCAGCATAGTCATAGCTTTATTTTCTAGATTCTCTCATGATAAGATTAGGAACAAATATTAACTTGAGAGATGAATAGGGGTATGGTTATTAAATTAGTCTTTGTAAATAATTGACAATGTTTGTGATGTTTTTCTCATAGAATTTATTTGCTATAAAGGCTTCATACTTTTTAGGATTTGTAAACATGACGATTGCTCCACCCTAGCATACTTCTTTTAAATCATTAAGTTGCAAGATATTTGAGAATTGACCCATTGTAAAGCCTATTCTATCTGGAATACATCTCTCATTGTCATCTAATTCATAAACAAATAAGGTTCTTTAAAGACCTTCAGGTTCTACTTCCTTTGTTATTAGTTTTCCTGAAGCAACTGTGAAGAAATTTTTAGGTGCCAAAAATCTAAGATTCCATCTTATAGGTGATCTTTTAGTACCTTAAATAATAGGCATCCATAATTCATTTTAGTCGCATTAATCACTGTTAAAAAAGTAAACACTCTCCTTGTCATCATTATCTTATCCACTATTCTCAATATGGCTTGGAAATGTATTTTAGCAGATTCCAAAGTTAGTAATTTTTTCTAAGAAATATAGAATTGCAATTTTAAGCTTTGGTTTTAGTTAATCAGCAGTATTTTCTTTATTTAATTTCAGAATCTAAATTGCTTTTACTATAAATAATGGCTCTTTTTGCTCATTTTCATAGATTTATTATTGCTTTGTCTCAAAAGAATGAAGATCTTTGCTAATTGTCTCAAAGACCTTCCTGGTAAATTGAGATTAATCAAAGGTACTTGGATAGTCAAATTTAAGTTGTTAATCTTCTAATTATTACTTTTCTGGATCAATTAGGTAAACTCCACCGATATCCAATTATTTTGCATGAATTTTTAGGTCAAGAATGTACTTCTTGAATGGTTTTGCAGTAGTTAATTTTTCAATCTTTTCAATTATCTATTCTTTATCTTTAAGGATGAGTGTAAATTCTTGTTAACCCCTAAGCCTTTTATTAACATGATCTAACTCTAAAGTGAGTTTGCATTTATCTAAATCATAAAAATCCATCAATGAACCTTTGCCTTTCTTTTTTCTCTTTTTCTTCTTTTCTTGCTAAATCTCTGGTAACTGTATTGGAATCTATATAGGGATAATTTCATCAATCTAGAGAGCTGACTAATTCAAAATAATCTATGATTAAGGAATATTTTATGTCGGATGATTATTTGAAATCGGCTATTGATATTGTGTTAAAGGAATTTAGATTGGATTATTTGCTGGTGTATTATAATCCAACATATAATTTTGCTGTTGCAATTCAGGATATAACTACTACTAAGTATTATAAATTGGCTAAGTATCACTATAACTAGGCGGTATAGTATATTAAGGTAATTAATGAGAGCTACCTTTTTGCTAGGTAGGCTGAATTGAAAGTTTTATTACATTTGAAGATGAGTTTGAAGGTGTTGGATTGATAAATTCATGTTATTAAAATGAAGGAGGTAAGCCTTGATCCAAATCTTAGAATTACTAGCTGTAGAAATTTTGGTTTTATTAGCTCTGAATATTTGCCCATTCATCAATTTGCATTTCAGAACTATCTTAAATTCTCTCATTTGTATATTCCTCCTAGATTACTGGTAAATTAGTCTACAATATAATTTTTTCTGGTTAATAATTTTGCTATTATTGAGGAGGTGGTAAATTATTAGTATTTGCACCCATACTCAATCCTGGTATAGAAATCTTGATTGAGCTTGAAGTTTAACCTTAATTAAGGCCATTAGGATTCTACTATTGGTAAAGTTTAACTAAATCAATTTCCTCATCGTCATCGTCATCATCATCCTAGTCATTAAACTGATCATCATATTCATCATCTTGAAATTCATCATCTTCAGGTTATAGATTATCATTTGGGTCATTTGGATTGAAATATTACTCCTAATTTTCATCCTCTTCATTCCCATCATTAGGATTTATGTTCGGGTTGAAATTATTGTCCATATTAGAGATTGATTAATAGATAAATTATTAAAATGATATAATAATATAATTAATAAAAATGAGCTCAAGACCTTACGGAGATAACTACCCATGGGATACCCTTAAATACGATAAAAAACAGTTGATTAAGGACTATGATTCCCCTCTTCACAATGATCTCTATTCAAGAGCCCTTGATGCTTATCTTATGTGTGTAGGAACTTACATGAGTGACATTACAATTCCAGATCTTTTGGAAAAATAATTAGATAGAATGGACATAAACTTGGTCTGCGGCTACGAATTAATGCAAATGAAAAGACTCTTCACCTAAACAGATATCCTTGATTATAACAGATTCCTTGAGGATAAACCCAAGTTTTGAGATATTTAGGGCATTAATCTAAAGCATGAAAGTTTTATTGTTTCCTAGAAGCAATTTTAGAAGCAGTGGTACTTTCTGTTAAGATAGAGAAACCTTAAATCTCTCTAGCATATTTAACTTTCATTAATCGAATTTAACTATATTTGTATTTGTTTTGCATATAATTAAAGCATTTTATATATCTATATGAGCATGGGGTTTTGGGGTTTTGGGGTTTTGGGG